CCCCAGTGAGCAGGTGCTCAAAAGAAAACCAAAGCCTGAGGGTGCGTCCAGTCACGGCCTGGCCCTGAGGGAATTTGGATGGGCTTGATTGAGAAGGAATTCAACACACTCCTCCTACCCCATCACAAACAGAGAATGGTACTTCAGAGCTCCCACCGAGCAGGGCTCATGGTATCCTTGTTCTTTTTTTTTTTCTTTTTTTTTAATTCTTACTGGAGTAGAGCCGATTTACGATGTTATGTCAGTTCCAGCTGTACAGCAAAGTGAACCAGTTATACATATATCCACTCTTCTTTAGTTTCTTTTGCCCATAGAGGCCATCACGATATCCTTGTTCTTGAGAGACCATGGAGACCCTCACCCATGAGAGGCTATTCTCTGGGCTGCCCCAAACCCGGGGCTCTCCCTCAGCTATCTGCACGAGGCCCTGGCACGTAGTTGCCTGGACTCTTTGACGCTTGTGACTGTGGTAGCAACAGCAAACATAACTTTGAATTTTTAGCAGAAATTTCTGAACTGTTACTTCACGGCAGTATTTTGCATTCACAGAAGCCTTTCTGCCGTCTGATGTTTCCTCACTGTTTTTGCTTTTCTCGGCAAAAGTCTTTCCTCTTCTCTCTGAGGTCCACTACCGTCCATCACTCAAATTCTGTCCTTGAGCAGGTCAGAGCACATAAATTCAGTCCAACACATTTCTTGAAGGTCTTCTGTGTGCAAAGCACTGTGCTGGGTTCAGAGAAGATGCATTCTTGTACTTACTGCTTTTGTGCCATCTTCTTATTTTTGAGTGAGTGGGCTTTCTGCCTTTGCCTTTTCCTGCCCTGGCCTGTGAAGCAGATCACACTGAGGCAATCTGAAGCCATTCTCTCTCCACCTTTGCTCCCTACAGGTTTTCCGGACAGACTTGATCACAGCCATGAAGATTCCAGACTCATACCAGCTCAGCCCGGATGACTACTATATCCTGGCAGACCCATGGCGACAGGAATGGGAGAAAGGTGTGCAGGTGCCTGCGGGGGCAGAGGCCATTCCGGAGCCCGTGGTGAGGTGAGCCGGGAAGCCCAGGCCAGGGGGGCCGTAGGCAGGGGATGAAGGGGAGGCTAGGGCCAGTCAAGGGATTCCTTTCTAGTGCGTCTCTATTCTTAGATTCTTTTGCCCTAAAAAACATTGCAGTGTTCCAGAAATACTGCAGGGCCAAGGTTTTGAGCTTGGGCTCAGCTCTGGAGCCAGACGGCCTGGGTTCAAATTGCCAGTCATATTCATTGCGGCCTTGGGCCAGAAATGTAATCTCCCTGGGAGTCAGTTTCCTTGTGCGTAAAATGGGAGTGATAACAATAGCACCTGCCCCATGCAGTGGTCGAGATGATGTAGAGAAACGATGCATGGCAGTTCCTAGACACAGGACCTGGCACACGTGAGCACTTGGTGAAAACTGGCCATGGATTAGCTTGATGTCGATCCAGACCGGGTCCCGCCAGAGGATCTTCCCAGGGAAGTCTCCAGGTTTTCAACTAGTCCTTAAGATAGGGATAAGCCACGCTCTTGACTTCTTCAGCATTTTGAGGGAGTTCTTAGCAGGAGGGAATCCAGTGCCTGGCACACACATCAGATGTTCACAAAGCAGTTGCCATGACCAGACTCTGAGGAGGCGCTCCTGCCAGGGCTGGGCCAGGGTTGGCTCAGGGATGAGTCCTCTTTGGGCTTTGGTGCCTTTTGCTCTTGTAGGTCAGAGAGACGCCTGGTGCTCTTGTCAGGAGGTGGCCTTGTGGCCGTAAGCCTTGCATCCAGTGACAGAGTTCAGCCAAGTGCTTCTTTCTGCACCCCGGGAAACCCTCCAAGTCATGTCTTGGGACACAGGGGCCTACTGTCCTGGCCTTCTCTGCCCACCAGCTTGCCTGGGCTGGGCAGCTTGTGTTATTGGCAGTTCGTTCCCGGCCTTGGCAGCGCTGTGGCTCTCGCTTAGGCCCATTTTGACCAGGCCTGGGGCAAAGATCTCAGCTGTCACCTCCCTTGACATTGGCACTGTTGCTTCCTGGCAGCCACACCTATGACTGGCTCACAGACACCCAATGCCTGCCTGATGCCAGGCCTGTGCTGGGCATGGGATTACAGAGGCGAAGCGGACTCTAAGCCTCACTCGGTGCTCAGTGAGGACTGGGTGTTGGGCAGTGCTCAGCCTCCCGGGCTCCCAAGGGCTGAATGCCTACCAGCTCTTGTCTTCAGCCCTCTGAGAATGAGGGAAACTCCAGGCCTCTCTGGACGGGAGTGTGTGTGGGATTTAGAGAAAGAATTTATTCTACACATCCTCTGCCCAGGGCCAAAAACGTGGGTCGGCCTCCTAGCCAGTTTCGCACCCTCAGCTCTGCAGACGGAAGAACTGTTACTGACCTCTTTGAACCTGTTTCCTTCTCTGTAAAATGGGTCTAAAAAGAGTACATGCCTGGTACTGTGGTAGTGAGGGTTAAATGAGAATTCGCATGCCAAGGGCCCAGAATAATGAGGCAGAGGGGTGGGCCACCAGCTGGGCAGAGAGGAGTGAGTCCTGATTAGGCTCAGCCCAGCAGTCTGTCCTCTGTCCTTGATGTCAGTGTCAGGTGGTTCCAGAAACATCCGCCAGCCTGGGTAATTATTTGCAGATGCCTCCACACCAGTAGCTTGGCTTCAGTTGGTGTTTTACCTGTTGACATCAAGACGAGAGCATGTGTTCAGACAGCTCTGGCTCTACTAGGTACATTCCCCACATACACATGGCTGCTCTAGGCTGGCAGGAGCCAGGCGCTCCTGGACCATCCATGCTCTTTGGAGAGGATAGACTGGAGGGGGAGGGATGCTCTCGTGGAGATATCTCTGTGCCCCATCTTTCCCTGTCTCCCTCCAGCCTGGTCCCTACATCTTCTGGGGTGCCTTCCACTGCACAGCCCTCATCTGGAAGCTAGCACGGCAGCCACCATGCTCAGAATTGTTATAGGAACTCTGTTCCTGAGAACTTGCTATGCTGAACCTGTTAACACTCATCTTCTCATTTAATTATCATATTGGCTCTCTAAAGGGCATATTGCTGTCCCCATTCTATAGATGAGGAAGTCAGGAAATTCTGGGGAATTCCCTGCCTGACCGCCGCCAGGGCCTTGTGGGCTGGGCCGGGAAAACACAGGCCACGGGAACAAGCCCTGGGTTGCCCCTGTGTGGCCCAAAGAAAGTCTTATGCCCTGATCACCCTGGCTTGCTGACTCTGCCCTCCCTGCTGCTACCCTGGCTCCCTCCATCCCTCTCTCCTTGCCCAGTCTTCCCTGGCCCTTGAGCAGGTCTGCCCACCTCACGGTCTGAAACTTCTCTGGATAATGAGAACCTCTCACTCTCAGATCATGAATTGAGGGAGGGCCTACACTCCTCCCTCGGTGTGGCCAAAAGACTCAGCCCAGGGCAAAACTAACCTCTGGTGTCTGTCTGATCTCCTGGAGTAGAGAGCCCTCCCCTTCTCCAGATCCCAGCCCAGCCATCCACCTCCTCCCAGATGACCTCAGTCTTACCGGCTGCAGCTGAGACTGAGGCCTTGGCCTAGGGTAAGGTCTGTCCACCCTTGATAGGAGTGTTTCCTCCATAGTCAGAGCCAGAAGAGGCCAAACAGATGAAGATGGGAGCCCCAGGAAGTACAGGAAATGCCTTTTTTGTTGTGAGCCCTCTAACCTCAGCTTCCCAGAGAAAGGAATGTGATCTTGGCCCCAAGAGGTCTGGCCAGGTGGCAGCTGACTGAGCACACAAGTGTGGGTAGTTATGCCAGTAGGTGGTGGGCATTCGGGCAAGAGTTATCCAAAACCCCAGCTAAGCATATGCCGGGGGCACAAACAAAGCAGGGTCATGGCAAAATTACGGTGTTTTTCAAAGAATACGTTAATTTAAATAAGAGCCTCATGAGGAAAGGCAGAATTTTGTAGGACCAAGAGTACTAATATTCCTGCTATTTGGAATGATCTGGGGGTCGGGGGGCATCACGTCATTATCTTTGCCTAAGACCTTCCTTAATCTGGGCATCTCATGTGGGAAAAGGTGGTGCCAGGCCCTTTCCCTTTCTCCTTGTCTCCCTCAGTCTCCTCTGGGCCTCCCTCTTGCCTGGAGGCCATTCTGCCTCCCTGTCTCCTTCATCCTTCCTGCCCCCCTTGCTGACACCGGGGCATTTCCTGGCGCCCAGGAGCCCCCCCCACAGCTGAGCCACGTCTGTGCATCCAAAGCCCTGCCTTCTCCTCCCCGGTCGGCGCTGAGTCACAGCCCCTGGCAGCCCTGCCTTCGACCCCAGGAGGCCTCTCGGGCAAGTAAGGGGCCTCTCAGCCCTGGCAGGGCTGGCCAGATGGAGGCCAGGCTCCGCAGCAATAACCATGGCAACTGGTGGGGGGTGGGAAGAGCTGGCATTCTGAACTGGCATCAGGAACTGAGGGGCAGCACACAGCTGATGCAGGAGAGGAAGCTGTGCTCTCCCAAGGCAAAACACCCTCATTCCGTTTCAGAAGAAGCAAAGTGTATATCTTAAAATACATACTCACACAAATATAGTGCTTACTACATGCCAGGCACAGTTCTAAGAGCTCTACATGTGTTCATCCATTTAATCCTCATGCCAACTGCAGAAGGTAGGTGCTGTTATCATTAGCCCATTTTCTGGGGCACAGAGAGGTTAAGTGGCTTACCCAGAGTCACACATTAAGTGGTGGAGCTGGACTTGGAGACCTCACCCTGCAGTCAGGGCACTTCCAAGCTGCCTCAGAGGCAGAGCCATGGCCTGAGGGTGGGCTGACCTGGAGTGTGACCCTGAGACTGTAGCAGGTGCATTCTCTTCACCCCAGAGGAGCCCTGGCCTCAGTGCCCCTGAGGCTATTGGTGGAGGAGGGGCCAGAGCTTGTGAGGGCCTGGAAACAATCCCTGGCCTCTCCCCAGCTTTGAGGGGTATGCCGAAGGACCTGGAGGCCAGCTGGCTCTACCCGCCTGGTCCCAAAGTGGCTGGCACTGGGCATTGCCCAGGACAGCACTTGGAATGCCTCCTACAGCCTCTGCAGGGTGGGCAGGTGGGAGGAGGGAATGGAAGGAGGTGGGCCCTGCTCGGCATCAAAGTCTCACACCTCACTTGCCCACTAGCTCCTTAGCCAGGCTGGCCAACTTACTAAAGGCCCCCAGACCCAGCAAGAGTAGCAGGCTGAGGGCACCCTCCCCTCACACCTTCTCTTGATTTCCTAGGATTCTTCCACCACTGGAAGGCCCCCCTACCCAGGTGTCCCCTAGCGGCTCCGAACTTGGTGAGGGCTCCCAGCCTGATTGGCCAGGGGGCAGCCGCTATGACCTGGACGAGATTGACGCCTACTGGCTGGAACTCATCAACTCGGAGCTCAGGGAGATGGGTAGGTGACCCGCCAGCTGAGAATGGGGTGGGGGCAGGCCAAGGAGGGTTTTCTTCTGAACCCCAGCATCCTCACCCTCAGAAGGGCAGTGGCCATCACTGGGCTTTGGCACTACACAGGGCTGGGGGGAAAGTCCCTGCTGCATTACTGATTATTATGCTTCAATTTCTGTAGCTCTCAGATGGAGGCAATAATAGCATATGTCATTTATACGGTTCGGGGGAATATTGTAGTAAGTGTGACTGTTGCATGAAGATTGAGTGAGCGCTAGGAGTCTAGGATTACAAATGGGGCCACAGGGTCAGTTGGTATATGGGCCTTCTGGCTGGAGCCCACCATGTCCCAAGAAGGGCCAGCTGTGCCATATTCAGCCACCTTCCCAGGTCCCCCCATACACATAGCTCAAGCAGTGGGTTCCCCACGGAGCCGGCTGCATCCCAGAGACACTTCCATGGTATCTGTGTGCACACAAGCATGTGTGTGGTCACAAGCAGTGTCTGAAGAGTCACAGCACCACACCAGGCCCCGGGGGCCTTTGAGGTTGCGTGGTCCAGCGCAGTCAGTTTTTGGACCATGGAGCTGGGGTCCTGAGATAGCGCAACCAGCGGATGGGTGGAAACCCTCCTGTACATCTGCCCTGAGAGGCCAGGCTCCTGACACCCTGCCCTGCTGTCCTCACAGAGAGGCCAGAGCTGGATGAACTGACGCTCGAGCGCGTACTGGAGGAGCTGGAGACTCTGTGCCACCAGAACATGGCGCAGGCCATCGAGACGCAGGAGGGGCTGGGCATCGAGTATGATGAGGATGTCGTCTGTGACGTGTGCCGCTCTCCCGAGGGTGAAGATGGCAACGAGATGGTCTTCTGCGACAAATGCAACGTCTGCGTGCACCAGGTAGGCAGCCCCCATTGCCGTCACCATGCTGTGCGGGCAGGCCCCTGCCTGACCCGGTCACCCTGGCTGTAGGGGTGCAGCAGCACTGTGGGCACGGGGCGCTAAGAAGGAGGGCAAGGGGGTGGAAGGGAATGGCGTGAGTGCCCGTGGTGCCAGGGATACCCAGGGCCCCTCGGCTCAGCCCCCTCAGCCAGATTTGAGTAACGCCCATTGGATGGTCTTTCTGTCCTGTCCTGCCGGCCTCCCTCAGATTCTCCCCACTGAGCACCCTACCCCCTCCTCACCATCCTGAACTTACAACGAGGCAGCACAGTGTAGTGATCGAGAGCAGAGCCTGGAGCCAGGCCACCTGGTTTCAAACCATGGCTCTGCCCTTTGCAAGCTATTTGATTTTGGGTAAGTTTCTTAATCTCTCTGAGCCTCTGTTTCCTCAAGTATAAATAAAAGTAAGTTGTTGTGAGGATTAAGTTCCTTACTATGAGTCATTTGGTTAGAACGGTATAGTAAGAGTTGTTCGTGTTTGTTAACAGTATTGGTATTATAAACCAGGTACTGCCTGACTAGGCTCCCCTCGTGATCTTGGGCCCCAAGGCTATAGGTCTGGGGTATCTCTGGGCCTTGTTTGTAGAAGACCTGACTGGAACCCAGTGAACCCACTCTGGCCCTAACTTTGAGGCCCTCCCTTACCCACTTCTGCTGGAATAGCACCCAGGGAGCTTAAAAGGGCTTCACCTGGCTGGCAGGTTGGTAGGCAGTGCACCACCCTCCTCATTCATCTACATCCCTTATACCCAGCAGCTCTTAGGTCCATAAGCCCTAGGCATTACCAGAAGGGTGCCCAATCACAGATCCCTGTGAAAAAAAGATGAAAGCTCTGGGCCCTGTCCTCAGGCAGCATACATACACAAATTTGTATTCAATTTAAGGGAGTTCATGGATGCCCCTGAAATCCATCACTGATTAGGAACCTCTGCCGAAGTGACTGACCTCCCAGCAGAGGGCAGAGCTGAGCCCTTTCACAGAGGACTGTGAGATGGTGAAATTTCAACACGCAACCCACGCAAAGAGAATCCCTGGAGCCCTTGCATTATAGTCCCTTAGGAGATCTCTTTGGCAGAGATGAGTAGCAGTGTCACTCTGTAGCTCCTAGCTCGGGCTGGGGCTAGGACTGTTTGTAGCCGAATGCTGACCAGACGCAGATTGGCCAATGCCTCTGACCTGTGACCACCCTGCTCTTTCCCCAGGCATGCTACGGGATCCTCAAGGTGCCCACAGGCAGCTGGTTGTGCCGGACGTGTGCCCTGGGCGTCCAGCCGAAGTGCCTGCTCTGCCCCAAGCGAGGAGGAGCCTTGAAGCCCACTAGAAGTGGGACCAAGTGGGTGCACGTCAGCTGCGCTCTGTGGATTCCTGAGGTGGGCAGATGTGGGGCTGGGGCGGCCCTGGGGCACAGCCGTGGGGAAGTGGGTCTGAACAGAACTCAGAACCCCGACGGCAGAGCACTAGGAAAAGAAGGTGATGGGCCACGTTAAATGGCGGATCTCAGGTGTCGAGCCTGGGAAGAGCTCAGGCAGCAGCCCACAGGGAACTTTACCCATGGACCTAGGCAGAACTTGGGTGGCTATTTCCATGGGAAAATGGGATTATGAGCCACTGGGGGATCCAGGTGGAGGTGTGAGAGCTGGACAGAAGTCAGGCAGCCGACTCTAGGGGAAAGCAGGTTGTGGGTCTACCCAAATCTAGGCGGTGGTCCCAACCAAAGTCAAGTGCTTTTTTTAAAATGAAAATAAGCCAAATGACCTAAAAGGAAATCAGGTGGGGAGCCTGATGAAAACTGGAGAGTAGGCCTGTGGCTGGAATGGGGGGGTGGGCCCAGGTCTGAGTCTAGGGGGGGACCATGGACGATGGGCTGAGCCCACAGTGAGTTAGCAGAGGCCCTGGGCTCCTGTCTTATTTGAAATGTGAAATGCTGACATTCGCTGGCGTTTCAGCTCTCTCCCTGCTGTGTGCCCTGACCCAGAATGAGGCCCCACTCCAATGCTGCCTGTGCCCGGAAGCAAGCCAGGTGGCCCTGTCAGCAGGTGGCCCCTCCCCTTCCTGGGCTCGCAGTCTGAAAGTCCTTGCTGGGACCCACATCACAGGTTTCTGTGATCATAGTGGTTATGTCAGCAATAGTCACTTGCCGCCACATCAGCATCTTGAAGTCTGGGACTACCTCTGAGTATACCTGGTCTGGGCACAGCAGGGACACAGAGGATCAGCAAGGACCTACCATGGGGGCTCTTTGGTTCAGGATCTCTGGACAGGGGCCCTTTTTCCCTCCTCAGCCATGGGCAGTAGGAAGGCAAATGTACCCTGCCTCTGGGGCTGAGGAGTGGGCTGTGCCCAGGAGATGGGCATGGTTATAGCCCTGTCCCCATAGGAGGGGCGAAACAAAGGCACATCCCCCTTGGCCAGGAAAGCCCTGGAGGTCCCCAAGAAGAGATCCTACCATGGGGACCTATAGTCGCCACCCAGAAAAATAAGTAAAATAAATTCAAGTTCTAATAAGAACTCTGAAGATGCTATTAACAAAAGCCTGAGGTACAAAAGAGAGGGGGACCTTGCATGTACTCATCTGCACATGGAAGCATCTCTGTCTGGAGACTCACATAGTCACAGGCACACATACACTCAGTCAGTTACACACACGGAAGCGCACTCTCCCAGTCACAGTTTAAGCCTAGCCGCTATAGAGCACACACTAACACAACATGGTCAACTTGGGAAGTCAGGAAGGACTTGGGACTCTCCCACTGCCGTGTCTGCCCACCACCTGGTTTCAGCAGACAGGCCCCCCATTTAGGTGATCCCTGGAGGCAGGCTGGGGATGAGAGGCCTGATGCAGCTCCCTGTGTCCTGCCCCAGGTCAGCATCGGGTGCCCCGAGAAGATGGAGCCCATCACCAAGATCTCGCATATCCCAGCCAGCCGCTGGGCTCTGTCCTGCAGCCTCTGCAAGGAGTGCACGGGCACCTGCATCCAGGTACACAGCCCCTTCACCCCGCTGCTGCCCGGGAGCCCATGTAGGAGCCAGCTACACAGAGGGGTGTGTCTGGGACACCCTGTAAAACAGGCCACTGCCAGCACCCTCCACCTGCCCCATGGTGCTACAGACAGAAGCACTGACGTGCCTGGGACCGGGACCAGAGCCAGCACCCCACCTGCCGGGCACTCCTCCATCCCTAGTTCCACTAGGCATGGGTCACAGGCCTGGGGAGCCAGGCTCACCACCCCGTTACAGTACTGAGGGGGCTTTCCCCAAGAGCAAGGGTCTGTGGGCTTAATAAATACATTGACCTCTCTTCTGATGTCAAACTTGACATGTGAGAGGGGTAAGAATCAAACTTTTCCTCCAACTAAGCTAACAGGCTCTCTCTACACATGGCAGGGCTGTGTTAGTTTGTTGACAGTAACGGTTCCCAAATTCTAGGGCGTATCAGTATTACCCAGAGGACTTGTTAAAATGCAGATTGCTTGGCCTACCCCCCAGAGGTCCTAATTCTGTAGATCTGTAGGTGGGGCTAAGAATTTGCATATTTCTAGCAAGCTCCCATGTGCTATTGATGCTCCTGGCCTATAGGTTGGGAAGTGGGAGGGTCACCCTTTCTCTCCCTTGTCTCTTCAGGAACAGTTGTCATTGTAAACACTAGATGTACCTCCACCCATTTATAAGACTTTCAGAATGGTTTGTGAGTGCAGCGTAAACGGCCACTAATAGTTCGCTGGGTTATTGCTGAAACAGCTGTCAGCTACCCACAGCCATCATCCCAGGTAACTCGGGCCCTGAGTTGGCCCTTAACTGCCTGGACAGGAGAAGAAGGAAGGGGCCCAACTCCAGCCCCTCTTCCCAGAGGACAAGGGAGGGGCACAACTCCCCATCTTAGATAACATTGCAGGAGCAGAGGAGGCAGGGACCCATCAACAGCCTCTTTCTTTCGATGCCTCCGATCCAAAGTCGTTGTCCGCACAGAAGGGCAGCTTGTCCCCAGAGGGATTGTCAGTCATCTGACTGTTGACTTCCCCGGGGTATATGATGCTGTCCAGCTCCCCCAGAGCTCCCCTTCCCATCTTCCGTGACTCCCTCCACAACCTGCAGGATGTCGGCAGCACGTGCCGTTTTGTGTAGGGTCTCGCCAGCATTCTGCACTCTCAGTGTAACCCTGGGGGATGCCCCACATTCTTCTTCCCTCCCACCAGGGCTCCCCTCATCCCTCACGCTGCCCTTCCTCTCGCTCTAGTGTTCCATGCCTTCCTGCGTCACGGCATTCCACGTCACATGCGCCTTTGACCACAGCCTGGAAATGAGGACTATATTAGCAGACAACGACGAGGTCAAGTTCAAGTCGTTCTGCCAGGAGCACAGTGATGGGGGCCCACGGGGTGAAACCACGTCCGAACCCGTGGAGCCCAGCTCGGCCAGCGAGGACCTGGAGAAGGTGACCCTACGCAAGCAACGGCTGCAGCAGCTGGAGGAAGACTTCTATGAGCTGGTGGAGCCAGCCGAGGTGGCTGAGCGCCTGGACCTGGCTGAGGTGCTGGTCGACTTCATCTACCAGTACTGGAAGCTGAAGAGGAAAGCCAACGCCAACCAGCCACTGCTGATGCCCAAGACCGACGAGGTGGACAACCTGGCCCAGCAGGAGCAGGACGTCCTCTACCGCCGCCTGAAGCTCTTCACGCACCTGCGGCAGGACCTGGAGAGAGTGAGTCCCCCTGCCGCCCCCCCAACCCACCTGCCCGGTGGGCTACCCAGGAGGCCTTTCCACCCCTCCCTCGCTGCCCTGGAGCAGCCATGGTTCACCAGGATTCACACTGTGAGCTCTGGCCAAGGCGCTGAGGGCCTCGGGGTCTCAGACAGGGTTGGGGTAACTGAGAGTTTGTGGAACAGGGGAGGATCCAGCTCTGGGGTCTCTGAGTCCCTCTCGTCCCAGCCCTTTTGCAGGCCTGATGAAGGGTGGGGCCCCTGCCAGGACTGTGAGGCTGGGAAACACCAGGGCTGGGGCAAGGACCCAAGCTTCTGACTCCTGGTGGTCTCTGTGGGCCCTGCCTAGTCCCAACACACGTGCTTTGCTTAGAGTCGGAGGCAGGGGAGGAGCTGGGAATCACAAGTGAGTTCAATCAGTGTAATAAGCACGTGCTGGGCCAAAGCAGGGAAGACGGGTGTGAGTGCAGCTCCTGGGGGTGCGGGATAGAGGGAACAGCCTGAGCAGAGACACGGGCTGGAGACCAGCTGCGGCCTGTGTGGAGTGGAAGGATGGGGCTGGCTGGGTGGACCAAAGTGTGTCTGGAAGCCGCAGAAGTGTTTTAAGCGGGGACTCTCCTGCTGTGGCTGCAGATTCCAAACGCTCACCCTGGAGGTGGAATCACAGGGCCCAGATGGAGTGAGTGGGTTGGCCAGAAGCCCTCAGCTGTGCCCTGGGAGGCAGGGGATGTTGCCTTGGTCCAGGCGCATCGCTTTTGGGGCTGAGTGAGATGAGGAAGATATGCAGACACCTCGGTTTTGGGCTGGGCCTTGGAGGTTGGGGACCAGTGAGAGTTGCTTTCCTAGAGCATGGAGGCCCCCCAAAGCCTCTAATGCCTGCTGTTCCTCCCAGAAAGAAGGGGAAAGAGTCCTGCCTTCTGTGGAGCGTGCCCTCGAACTTGGCTCTTTTGGTACCCCTCCCCTGACTCCTCCAGCTGATAAAGTACCACCCCCCAAGTTGGGGGCACCCCAAGGATGAAGCAGGGTGTTCCAAGTCCTTGATCCAGTCCTCTGAGCCCCAGGTGCTGTTCTGGCCTCTCCGCTGGGGGACATTCAGTTCTAGGATTAGGAGTATGAGGGGTCATGTCAGGGGGACACAGACTCACATGCCTGCCCGCTGCCCAGGCCATGCTTGGGAAACAGCCGGGGTGGAGGCATCAAGGGGGCTTTGTGTGACTTAAGGCAAGCTGCTTTGCTTAGGCACGTCTCGGTTGGCGAGTCTGTAGAATATGGTTAGAGCAATTCAGCAGATGTTGTGCTGTGGGCTGGGCGGGGCGGGGCAGGGGGGCATGGAGGTGGAGGCTCTGAAACTGGACCCGGCTTCTCCACCCTCCTGCACCCCACGCATCTGCCCTGAGGCCTGGTCACGTGGAAATGACCCTGTTGGCCTGGGAAGGAGCTTACTGCCTGGCAGCCAGCCTGCCACCAGGTCAGAAGGTGGGGGGCAGGGGGGTCACCAAATGTCCACGGCTCCAGCCCGGACAGAGAGCAGGGCCACCTGCGCTGCGGTCACCACTTCCTGGGTAGCCCAGGTCGCCTCCTGTCTCCCAGGGCCATCAGGTACAAATCCTTCCGAGACCAGAGCTGTTTCCACACGTGTCCTCAGGCCACCCTCGAGTCTCCACCCCCAGGGTCTTGAGTACAGACATCCTGCTTTTAGCCCTCCTGTTTCCAAACGACTCATCACATCTGACCTCCCTGGTCTGTGCTGCTCAGCCCACATGTCTGGCCCTGGCTAGGCTGCATGGAGGGGTCAGGGGACGGGCTCACCTATTGAACCATCATCCTGGAAAAAGAGATGAGAGGTAGATGGTGCCATCCTTAAGGAGCAGATGGGGAAGGTGGGGCTCAGAGAGGTGAAGAAAGCCTTGGAGGAATGTGTGTTTTCTAGAGTTGAGTTGAATTGGGGCCTGAATAGGGGAGGAGTTTGTCAGAGAGTTGTTGGCTTATTCTCTCTTCTGTACATTTCCTGGGCAAAAGTACCCCCTTATCAGTCCCCCGACCTCTCGACCCCATCGTCAACTGGTACAGGTGAAGCCAGCGGCTGAGGTTGTCATGGGCTAGGATACTGAGGTATAGCTCTGGGGCTCCTGGGTCTGTGCCTCACAGACCCCTTTGGTTGAGGCACAAAGCCCTCCAAAGTCGGGTGTGAGTTGGTCCACTCTTCCCCAGGAAGAGGAGGCAGGGCCAGCCTTGGCGTCTGTGCAGCTTCTTAGGGCTCAGGAGGGCCCTGTCGAAATGCTGTTCTCCAGCAGCCTCCAGGCTGGGCTGAAGGGCACCAGCTGAGTGCAAGGCCAGGGAGCGCACAGCCCTGGCAGGCTGAGGAGAGGAAGTCATACAGCCACGCGCCAGTTGACCCCCTCCGGTCCAGCCTCAGATCTCTTCACGGCCATGCGTTGGTGACTCGAGTGAGTGAACAGGGCCGAGAACTATGCCATGGGGGAGGCTTTCTGCAAAGACCCATGACTGTTGGTGGCCTGGCCAGCAGGCCCAGTCTCTGACCATGACCCTGTGCCAACAGTCAAGAGTATCCAGCCTGTCTCTGGGCACCACGCCAGCTTGGGCCGGATCCATCGAGGATTCAAGGCAGGGGTTGAGACTGAGGCTGTGTGTAGCCTGGGTCTACATTCAGTTCCAGCACTTCCAGCTTTGTGCCTTCTGAGTTATAGTTTCTACTTCTCTGAGTTTCAGTTTCCTTGCCTGTAAAATGGGAATAAGGATCTAGCTGACCTTAGATCCCAGGAAAGATGGGGGATAGAGCTTAGCACACTACCGTCCATTGTTAGTGGTGGTTATTGTTGCTGTTCTGTCTCTTAGAAGGGTGGGCTGCTCGGATGGCGGGCTCCAGGGAGGACTGAAAGGGCAGGCCCAGTGCTAAGGCCCAGGAATCATGCATCCTCCCTGATTGATTTGCCTCCCAAGGCAGGAGTTTCGCTGAGAGAAGCAGGGGTCATGCTACCGCCAGCATGAAATCCCATTTTACGGTCAGCCTAGAAGATACGCTCTCCTAAAATTTCAGCCTTAGGCCTCAGCTGTGGCAGGCATCACAGGAAGGCATGGCCACTGCAGCCTCCCAGAGTTATTCACAGCTGACAAAAAAATTGCAGCTCTGATGATCAGCGATCAGCCCAAGAAACACCGGTTGGTGTCCCCCAGCAACCATGCTGGTAGTTTGGGTTACGTGGGGCCTCACTGCCTGTGGCTCTGGATCTGGTTACCAGGAGTTTATTGAAGGTTCTACCTGGCCTGAGAGGCGCCGAGAGGGCAGGGGCAGCTCTCAGACACACATGCCCCAGGGGATGGACACGTAGGAACTCCCCATAGCTCTCTCCAGGAGAGGAAGGTCCTGCCCTCTCCCACACTCGCCACCTGCTTCCTCGGCAGTTGTCACACCCCGTTTACTCTGTCCTCAGTGCCTGGGTTGTGTCTTCTTGACCTCCCACCAAAAACTATCTTGTCCCAGGCAGCCGTGGCCTCCAGCCTCCAGCTCGTCAACCCCGTGGCTCCCAACTCTAGGAATTTTTCCAACCCATTAGCCCCTCCACCCACTCAAACCCCGTCACCCCCTCCAACTGCTTCGGGTCAGTAGCCCCGAATCCCCAATCCCCCTTTTTCACCACAGCCTCCCTTTCTCCCTGCTCAGTTCCTCCTTCTCTCTCCCCTGCTTTCTTCATTCCCACCCCATGTGGCATTAGCTCACTGCCAGTCCCTTGCACCTGTGCAAAGGCCACACCCCAGGCAGAGCCTCACCCAGTAGGAGGCACTCAGCCCACCAGGAGCGATCCTATAGCAGTGAGCAGGTGAGCCCCCCAGGGTGCCTGCCAGCCAGCCTTGGTGGTACACTAGCCGGCAGCATTCTGGGCTCCCGCATTACCACCTGTCTGCACCCCTGCCCCCCTCCCTCAGGGCTCCCCCGTCTCTTAGCAGACCTCACCTGTTCCTCAGACCAGAACCCTCCAACTCCTTGCCCGGTGGTGCCCTCTGTACCCGTTCTCTGCCCTTTTTTCCCATGTCCTCCCCTCCCCGCCCCCCAGGGATTTCTTTCCAGCCCACACCCCGCAGCACAGGAGTATCTATCTTGTCTTCACCCCCCCCCCCCACCGAGACGGACTCCAGGATTCCTCCAGTGTCCGAATTCATTTTACCTTCTCCCATCTTCAGAAGCAAGTCCTCCCTCCCCATGTCCCTCTAGTCATGGGTTTCTCACCCTTGTTACTCTCTCTCCTTTTCTGTCATCCCTCACTGTTCTTACTTCCTTGCTTCCCACTCTGCCTAGGCTCCTGCCACCACCATATTCCAGAACCTTCCACCGGGGCCACCTACAGCCTCCATCTCCTGTTTCTCCATCCTCATCCCCCAGCCTTCTCAGCAGTGGTTGCCACAGTCAAGCATGCCCTTGGTCTTGAAACACTTTTCCTGTGGATGCTCTGACCAGATTCCCCCCGATACCCCAATTCTGCTCCCTCTCTGAGTCCTCCTTGGTCCCAGTGATCATTCACCACACTAGGTCTGACCTCTCATTGCGCATCTGCTCCACAGCTTTACTCCCCATCAGGAGGCTGGCTCCAGCCTACACCTCCCTCCCCAGCTCCAGCATCTCATGCCCAGTATGCCCTGTCCCAACCACAACCTCCCCAGGCTCCATGAATGCCCCCTACACTGGTCCATTCTAGCTCAAGACAACTGTCTGGGAGTCCTCCCTGCCCCTCTCCTCTCCTCAGCCCACATCCAGGTTCTCTTTGCAAAACTTGCTGTTATCAAAACAATTTTATCAAAAAGTAAAACCTGCTTTTATTACTGATCCCTGCTCTAGTTCAGGGGGACTTTCCCACTTGATTCTTTTTTGTACTCTTTGATTTTTTTTTTTTACAGAGAACATTTTGTCTTTATAATAAGAAAAGAACAATGTAAGAAGTCTGATAGCCTGGGTGGGCTTCTAAGGTGGTATCTATAGTTTTCCCCAAAAGCCATCATGGAAGAGGAGTTTTACAACACTCAGTAACATGTAGCTATATTACCAAGAATCTTGGGAGAAATTAGAGATGTAATTGATGATTCCAGGGTGAAGTGGGAATAAGGGGTCACAGTGTGACCAATGTACCAACCAGAGGATGTTGGCACCATTGGGATTCTCACAGAGTCTTTCGTAGCAGGAATCTCCAGACATTAGTGATTGTGTAATGTATGTACCCTTATCATGGAAAGAAAATTGAGCATTTAGCTCCAATATATTGTATTTTTAGTATCTCATTTATATCTTCCATGGTATATTATGAAAGCAAACCTAATCAGTATTTCTAGTAGGACCAAAAAAAAAACCCCCAAAACACTAGAAGTTCTAATGTTTTCTTCCTATACTGTGATGAGCTGTCAAAATCAATAGCCCATGCAGCTCACTTTGGAGGCCCTTGGCCTAGGACAGTAGTTCTCAGGTTCCATGGTGCTATGTAAAATGTATATTTGAGGGCCCCCACCTCCAGAGAGTTTGATATCCCCCCAAGCCTGGGAATCTGTATTTTTAACCAGCCACCCCAGGGATTTGGGGGTAATCTTGGCCAGTAATTCATTTGAGCCTGCCTTGAGAAACCTTGCTCTAGTGTTTGGAAAAGATAAAAAAGAACGAAAGAGAGAAAGAGAGAGAGAAAGAAAGAGAGAAAGAAAAGAGAGAAAGAAAGAAAAGAAAGAAAGAAAAAGAAAGAAGCCACATCTGTTTTTTTTTTTTGCGGTACGCGGGCCTCTCACTGTTGTGGCCTCTCCCGTTGCGGAGCACAGGCTCCGGACGCGCAGGCTCAGCGGCCATGGCTCATGGGCCCGGCCGCTCCGCGGCACGTGGGATCTTCCCGGACCGGGGCACGAACCCGTGTCCGCTGCATCAGCAGGCGGACTCTCAACCACTGCGCCACCAAGGAAGCCCTACATCTGTATTTTAATAGGAAGTAGACCTTGGCTGATCTGTTTTTAGGCTGGAAATATTGAGTGGTTTGTTCTTAGGCCTCCAAAGTAGCCACGAATCCATCCACCTTTCTTCATCCCTACTGTCCCCATGCGTACTTGGCCACATGACTGCCAGGAGGAAAGAGACCAGGATATGAGGAGAATAAGGTTGGGCTGCTTAGTTGTGGTGGACAGGAATGCCCTCTGGAGGTGATATTTGAGCCAAGACCTGAAGGATGAGGTCTAGCCTTGGGAAGAGAGGGTTGAAGAGCATTTGGGGCCGAGAGTTGAATGTATATCAAGGCCCCAAGGCAGAAGTGGGCTGGACACAGAAAGAAGGGGACTGGAGGGCAGTGCGGCTGGAGCTTGGAGAACTGTGGGACATAGACTGTGAGGATGACAGTGGGAGGTCAAACTGGGCAAGGCTCTGAGCTGTGGCTCTGGTTTTTTTAAGTGTGACAGGAAGAAAACTATATCTGTTTCCTAGGACTACTGCGACAAAGCACTACAAACTCCGTGGCTTTAAACAACATAGATTTGTTTTCTCACAGTTTTAGAGGCCAGAAATTCTAGATCAAGGTGTTGGCAGGGTTGATTCCTCCTAGAGGCTCTGAGGCTAAAACCCTCCATACCTCTCTCCTAGCTTCTGGTGGTTGCTGGCAACCCTTGGTGTTCTGTGACTTGTAGACCCATGACTCCAGTCTCTGTCATCACATGGCATTCTCTCAGTATGTCTTCACATGGCCTTTTATAAGGACATTAGTCATTGCATTTAGGGCTCACTCATATCCAGTGTAATCTTAACTAATTACATCCAAGGTTCCAGGTGGACATAAATTTTGGGAAAGGGCACTATTCAACCCAGTGCAGAATCTATTGGAGGTTTCAAGGGGAGGAGGATTTACATTTTAAGATTTACATTTGTATTTCAAGAATATTGCTCCAGGATAGCAGAGAGGTCAAAACAGCTGGCCGTCCAGGTGAAGATGATGGGGGTGTCCAGGAGGTGGAGGGAGCTGTTGGGATGGGAGGGAGTCAGGTTCACCATGAACGGGAATTCCCTGTGGTATTCCAGTCCAGTGGTTAGGACTCCGCGCTTTCACTGACATGGGCCCCGGCTTCGATCCCTGGTCGGGGAACTAAGATCCCGCAAGCTGTGCAGAGCGGCCAAAAAAAAAAAGTTCACCAGGAAGGACTGATGGGACATACTGATGGATCAGCTGTGGAGCAGATGAGGAGGGCCTGGGTCCTTAAGGATGACTCCTGGGTCTCAGCACTTACACATCCCTGCTCCCTGGTCCCCACCACCACCCAAATCCCTCCACAGTTCCCCCTGACCTGGCTCAGTCAGGCCTCAGAGGCTGACACTAGCCACGAGGCCTTGCTCTCCTCTCCCCTACCTGGCCTTACTCTGGGTTCTTGTCTTCAGCCTGTGCCCCTCTGTGATCACCTCCCACCTGGCCTATCTGCCCCTTTCTCCAGGGAACCTTCTCACCACCCCCAAGTCTGGGTCAGGGCTGCCTGGGTCAGTCCTTGGTCAGCATCTCTCTGCTCTGCTGGGCAGCAAGCTCTCAGGAGAAAGGGGCCCTGGTGGCACTGCTCGTAGCTGAGCCCAGGGCCCAACACAAGCCTGTGCTTAGGGACATGTGGGAGGAGTCCAGGATCTGCGTGGAAGTCAGACGGTGCCAGTGAGCTGGAGCAAGGGCAGGCTGGGCCAGGTGGCTGCCCCTTGGGGAGGTGCTGGCCACAGGAGAGCCTGGTGTTCACAGTCTAGGCTGGGGTGCGGAGTGCTGCTGAGAATCCGTGCAGAGCCTGTTCTCCAGAGGCCTGCTAGCCTGGGTCAGCTGTTCCGGGGTCTCCTTCACGGCTAGGCTCAGGAAGGAGAGGAGGAGGCCCACGCCAGCAGAGAGGTCTGATAACGGCTACCCCAGGGCAGTAGAAGTGATGGACACGACAACAGGCAGGGGCTCTGGAACTCTCAAGTCATGCCCAGGCAGTTTAAGGATATGAAGACTGAATTCAGCCTTGAAGACGGAACCCAGCTGGAGGTAGAATCTGGTGGGACCCGGGATTCCAGTTCCGCACTTTCTGGCCAGCTGTCCCTGTTGCTGCTGGAGACTGTGACCCAAGCTGAAGAATTGCCAGAGCAAGGCAGTGTCCTGATGGGGAGGAGGCCTGGGCTTGGTCCCAGAGGTGTGATGTACCCTGAGAGCAGCCGGTGAGGGATGGCACGCTGGGCAGAGGGAGGTGCCAGGTGGCCAGGGAGCAACGTGGCCCATCCTTCAGGTGCTTCCAGACCAGTTACAAGGTGGGCCCTGTCCCATGGGCTAAGCAAGCTGGTCTCCCAGGCCCTAAGGGGCTCTTCCTAGCTGGCCTAAGGGAGTCAGAGAGGCCCTGCCCTTCCCCCTGAGGAGTTCTGTCTCTAGCCGACCGAATATGGCTGAGTGCACTTGGGCCCTTGAGCAGAGCAGCTGTGGGCCTGGCTCAGGGCCAGTGCAGCAAGTGGACACGGGTCAGCTGCGGGCTGGACCCCAGTGCATCAGGGACGGCCTGTCCGCTCAGAGCTCTTCTGCTGGAGCGCTTTGTACTCATGTGCCGGTCATTCGTGTCTCAGGATAGGAGGTGGTTTTTGCCCGGGTGCTTGTGGCTGAAGTTTCTTCAGTGGAAAGAAGCCTTGGACAGGAGCCAAGGGGTGAACTTGGTGACCTCTCGAGGTCCCCACAAGCCTTGGGGCACTGTGTATACAGGGCAGGGCACCCACGTTGGAAGGGCCTTGGGCACTGGCATGACTCAGCCCGGAAGTTTAGGCCGAGAAGAGGAAGGCAGAGTCGCCAGCCTGAGCTCCGCAGATGCTCTCCCTGCTGGCTCTGATCCAGAACACAGCCTTGGCCCCGTGTTGTGGATCAAAGTATATTGCACCTCAGGGCTGAGGGTGCATTCAGGGCCTGGGTATTGATTCTCAGATGTCCTGGGCAGGTTAGGCAGTGGTGGCCCCTCAGAGCTGGGAGGTCCGGGTGGTTGCTTGTGAGTAAGGTGGAAAACCTCTCTTGTGTTTCCTCAGGTTAGAAATCTGTGCTACATGGTGACAAGGCGCGAGAGAACGAAACACGCCATCTGCAAACTCCAGGAGCAGATATTCCACCTGCAGATGAAACTTATTGAACAGGATCTGTGTCGAGGTAGGCGTCCCCCCTGCCGGCCGCTGCCACCCCTCCTGTGCACACCCTCAAGGGGCTGGGTCCCAGCGAGGACGTGCATCTTCGGGGCCTGGTGCGGCATGTGTACAGGGTCAGGGGCCACGGGCCCCTACTCCTACCCTCTGCATCCAGTTAGTAGGCCCAGGTGGGGCCCTGCCGGGGTCCTAGGTGTGTGTCGGCAGGCAAGGAGCCAAAGATGCAATGTGGGCACCGGACCTGCCCTCGGGGAGCTTTCTGGTTCACAGGGCGCTCGGGCAGTGCTGGGCCGTAGTGGTTCAGGAGGAAATTGCACGTGAACAGGTACAAACCAGAAGTCCCAGCGGCTCTGTGCTGGTGCTGGGGCAGGAAGGGCCCAAGCTGGCGAGCTTCCCTGAGCCCCTGTGTGCCTGCGTTTCGATTCTGAAGCAGGCAGCTGCCCCAGAGGTGGAAGAGGACCCCCCTGTGTGTTTGTTTTCCCGGACCCTGTCTGACAGGATTCAGGCCCTGGGCCAACAGTTTTTTTCCCTGTCTTACGCTTTTGCCATCACATGCCTTTGACAGATCTGGAAATCAAAGGTCAAAGAAGCTCTGACAGTGGTCTTACTTATTAGTTGTGGATATTGCTGGACAACAGGGCCCTTCCTGGACTGTTTACATGTTAAAGGAGGCAATGCTTTGCCCAGAAAATGGTACTCTAATGTTGAGTTGTATGCAGCAGAAATAGCTGGATGGAGAGATTTTTAAGCCAGGGGCTGCCACTGCCAGCTCAGCCTGTGGGTCAGGCTGGGCCCGGAGTAGAGGGAGGAGAGCTGCCCGGCCACCACCAGAGCCAGTGACTGAGAACCTGCTACTGCCCCACCCCCGCCCAAGAGCTGAGCTGCCTCGACTGCGCTTTGGAACCACCACCTACTCTGGCCCCAGAAGCCAGCACTGCCCAGGACAGGTGCTGGGTCACGGTGGGTCACAGCCATGTAGAGGTCAGGGCTGACCGTGTACCTCAAGGACTATGGCAGCTTCCTGGCTGCCCAGCCTTTCCAGGCTCCCTCTCATCTGTCGGTTCCTTCGGCGAGCACTGATTGAGTATAGATAGGATGCCAGGCTCTGTGCCGGGCACTGTGAGTACCCTGCCATGGACTCAATGGACAGGCTTCCTGTCCTCGTGGAGCTCACCATCTGGAAAGACAAAGGAAAGTGGTGTCCAAGGGGCTGCCATTGGTGCCAGTGCAGGGACAGAGGTATCAGGGATGGCTTCATGGTGGTGGTGTTGCCAGAACATCTCAGCCTTCTTAGGACTCACTGTGGCCACACATTCAACTGCAGGAAGGCAGCAGAGAGTGGTAAGGTGTGCAGGGCTCACAGGCACAGGATTCCAGAACCATGGTCAGGAGCTTGGAGGGTCGGCATCCCCGCATTGAGCTGGAGACATTCGCAGCTCCTAGACCTGAGTGGCAGCAACAGGCCACCTTTTGGTCAGGGCAGGGCATTTGGAGAGAAGATCAGTTGGCCTCTGCTTGAAGCTGATGCCCTCAGTGTTGTGACGCTTGACCCGTGGGGTGAGACATGGGCTACAGGCATATTGCTGAGGTCTGTCTGGCCAGAGGGCTAGAGGTTTCCCAGGGGCAGCGTATTTAAGCTGTGAGCTGAACCAGGTGAAGGACAGGGCAGGGAAACTGCATATTTGGAGACCTGGAGGCCAGAGCTGTCTTGTTAGAGAAACTGGAAGGAAACTGGCATATCTGCAACTAGGGCAGAAGGAAAATGTCTGCAGTGAGGCCGAGCAGTTGCCAGGGTCAGATGTGCAAGGTCTTGTGCCCTTGGAAGGAGCTCAGACCATGGTGAGGGCAGTGGGGGACTTGAAAAGCCCCTCTCTGAAGTATCTAGGCACTGGTCCCATGTGATAGATGAGAAGACTGAGGCCTGGCCTGAGGTTACACAGGGAATTAACAGCAGAGCTGGGAAGATTCCCGGAGTTGGGGCCACACTACTCAACCTTCTCTTAAACGCTTCCTCAGGAAGCCCTCCAGCCTCTGGCTGAGAAGCTGGGAGAAGATTCCGGCAGCCCCACCACAGCATGTCCCTCCCCTGCCCCACTGTGTTCTACGGCTCCCCGGACCCATGTGGTCACGGACTTAAAAGGATATGGGGGCCACGTGTGTACCCTGAGTCTCCCATCAAAGCAGACCAGGAGAGCAAGGCAGGGGACTTGCTCAAGGGCGCTGACCGCTGTGTCAGGAGTGGAACCCAAGGCTCTTGACTCCTCAGAGTGTCCTGTCCACCTTCAGGTCTGGCTCCTTGGCCTGGCATTTAAGGCCCTGCCCTGTCCACTCACCTCCAGCCTTCCCACCCACCAGGACTCTGTTCTGAGACCTTTAGGCTATATAGATCAGACTGCAGTCCAGGTCCTACAAAGCGGTCTTCCACTCTCCTCGTGGCCCCGTGCCCCTCACCAAGCCCCTCAAGGGCAGTTACCCCTCTCTCCCACACTAGCTATTCCCTGACTCACTGGAGCCCCAGTTATCCCAGGTCCCGCGTGGCTCAGAGCCTGGACCACAGAGGCAGGAGAAGGTGACCTAGCAGGCAAGGCACTGGCTGATGGGGAGGACTCCTTGGATGCCACACAGTGGTCTTAGTTCCGGCTGGGCTGCGTGGGGTAACCATCTCCCTCCTGCTCTCTCTTTCC